CCCCCCGTTTACAAGAATTATGAGAAAGTTGAAAACGGGTGGGAAAAAATCCTAATTTTACTATTGAAGAAATCCAAAAATGAATAAATAAAGGCTTGCAGCCATCCGATTATGATTTAGCTAATTACTTACAAGACAACGGTCACAATTTTGAACAAGAGTTAGATTTGGACAAATTAAGAAAAGAATATCTTCACAACTTGGATTGAAAAAATATTCATATAAACTTTAGAGAAAGCGATGAGTATTATCGCAAAGCATGAGAAAACACCGGCTTTACTTATGCAGAAACTAAACGATGGATGGAAGTTAGTTTGAATTGATCTGACTATGAATTTGCCGCTCATTTAACAAAATTAGGTCGTAAATCAACGGACCCTAATATAAGAGAAGTAATCCGAGAGGTTTCTTGGCAAGATATTCATCCCGAATTTTATTACTATCTCAGAAAAAGATGAGAAGAAAAAAATATGAATCGTGATGAAACTAAAAAATGAATAGAGGCAGGTTTTAGTCCTGATAATTATGGGCTTATTGAAGAGTGAGCAAAAATTGGCTTTACTATTGAAGAAACAAAACAACTGGTTGCAGTTGGTTTCAAGCCGGAAGCTTACGAAATTGCCAAAATCTCTGTTGAACAGTGAAAAAAACAAGAATTCACTTTTGCACAATTCATAGAATGGATGAAAGCCGGTCTGGGAAAAAGCCAAGTAGAATTTGCTGCTCATTTGCGAAAAAAAGGCTATCGACCCAACACCTCTAATATTAAAGAAATAATTAAAAAAGATTCGTGGCACAACATTCATAAAGGCTTTCGGGAACCAAACAGCATGACTAACTGAAAATTTCATGGCACCCCGTTTGAGAATTTCACGGAAGAAATTACTTATGAGTGAATGAAAGAAGGATTTGAAAGAAAAGAGTGCAAAGAATGGTTAGATATTGGAATGAAAGAAACAGATGCTAGATTTTGTGCTTGATTGAAAAATAAAGAGTGTTTTTCTACTTGACAAGTAATAAATTGCGAGGAAAAAGAA